GGATTTTTGTTTTCTTTACATTGAGATGTAATCCATACCGAAGGCTGTGCTCTTTGATCGTCATCAGTAAATGTTTTAAGTCCTCTTCACTTTCAGCAAGGAAGGTTGTATCATCTGCATATCCCAGGCTGTTAATAAGTCTTCCTCCAATCCTGATGCCACGTTTTTCTTCATAGAACCCAGCTTCTCGCATGATTTGCTCAGCATGCAGATTGCATAAGTATGGTGAAAGAATACAACCTTGTCGCACACCTTTCTTAATTTCAAACCATTCAGTGTTCCCATGTTCTGTTAGAACAACTGTCTTTTGGTCCAGGTACAGATTCCTCATGAGCACAATTAAGTGTTACGGAATACTCATACTTCGCAATGTTGTATATGTATATATGTGTGTGTGTCAGGATGTTGATAGACTATATGTATAAATACGAGCGTGAGTTTGTGTTGTGCGTATTCCCATACACCGTATCCCTTAACTTCTCTTCCTGCATTTCTCATTTTTTGACCGTCATTTTTCCTTCTCTCATCCTACATAACCTTTCCTCTGCTTCTCAGTATCCCTGCTTTATCAATCTGCTTCTCTGCCCCTTTTCATCCTTTTCAGTAAGTAGAATATCCTGGTATATGTTGTTGTTGTCAGGTGCCACCTTACCCATCCTGGTATATAGTTATCATTTTTTTGTTGTTAATTGCTGTATAGTCAGTTCTTACACTTAGCGACCCAGTATAGGGTTTACAAGGAGCGACTGGTGGATTTGAAATACAAACAGCAGCGAAGCTAGCTAGCAGTCTAGTGCTGATCCCTACAGCGGCACACCAGGGTTTCAGTCCTACGAAGGATTGTACCATTCCATGTTCTTCTGCTTCACCACCTCCAACTCCGTAGAGGACGATACCACTCAAATCCCCTTTCCCACTCCTGTATAAAATCTCTGCAAAAGTTTGCAACTTCCTGGTTTGTACCCTAATTTGCTTTCCCCGTTATGTTGCTGCCCCCTCCCTTCGCTGCTGCGATGGTACAGCCGGAATAGATTGTACGGAATTGGCTATACTCTCAAGATGGCGAATCCCATATTGAAAAAGTACATAGGAGCAGCCATATTGCCTGCTGAACAAAGCCACTAAATTTGCGGATAGGTCAAATCCGCAAGCACGAATGAGGGCAGGCTTGGGAGCTGCGCGCTTTGCTCAACGACAGGAAACGGGAGAGTTCACTATTGTGGATGTGACAGCGATCCATGATTAAGCGGAGATGGACGTTTTGCAGCCTCATAAAGGAGCCAGGGATTAGAAGGAGTGAGTGATGATTGAGTATGTGGGGTTGATAATGGGGAACTAAGGTCTATGATGATCAGTCATGGTAGAGTTATGAAGTCATGGGTGAGGGAGGTGGGTGGGATTAGCGTTGGATTTGGGGGTCAAGAATGGAGGGAGATAAGTGATCAGTAATTAGAGTCAGTAACGGGGTGTCTGTGGGGTCCGAAATAGCTTGTATGTGGACTAGGTGGTAAGGACAATTGGAGTCAATGATTTGGGGAGCTCTGTCAAGCAGAGCGGTGATTGGTGGAAGGGATAATAAATGATGAGCGTCTGTTGGTCAGTGATGTGTTGGTGGAGTGTTCAGAGATTTGGAAAGGTAAATAATGTGAACACTGCCCCATGGTTGTTGTGTGCTTGCTAGTCGTTTCAGACTCAGACCCAATTTTTTAGGAAAGGCTTTAACTTGCATTAACATTTCCAGAGGCCTCAGCAACTGTTGAATTTTTATAAATTAAGCACCTTCTCAGGTCTTTTCCCAATCCACCACTGTCCCTAAATCACCCCTTTATCCGCAAAGAAATGTCCATCTAAAAATAGGACCCAAACCCAAACCCACACCCACTACTGCTGAGTCGATTCCCACTCCTAGCAGAGTAGAATTACCCCATAGGGTTCCCAAGGCTGTCAATCTTCATGGAAGCAGCCGGTGACATCTTTCTCCTGCAGAATGGCTGGCTGGTGGGACCAGCTGACCTTTTGATTATTGTCAAGCACTTTAACCACTGTGCCACCGGTACACCTTAAAACAGCACTCGGACATCTGGAAGTACAGGTTATTATGAAAAGTGTGGTTTTAGCCTAGCTTTTTCTAAGTTGATTGCAGTCATTTTCTATTTTGTTTTAGAAGCATTTACTTAACACCCCCAGCATGACTTTTTCCTTTGATTGTTTCCTTCCAGATCTGTTGGGATAAAGTCTGAGACATCCTATGTGAAACAGTGTTCTTGTCATGTGTGCCCTTACTTCCTCTGAGCAAGTTCAATCCTGTCTGTATGACCCGTCTAGGAACTGAGAAGAATTTACTAGGTAAGTGGCTTCCTGCATTGTGGTTCCAGCCTGTCAACGCTTTTGTATGCAGGCAACTGCACTGCTGAAAATCAGCAATAAAAATTTATAAAGGAAAAATCTTCAAATCAACATTTTAGTCCATGAACACTGCTTTGGCAATAAACTTTGCTGAATTGGGATTAAATATAAAAGAGTTCTTGGGTGATTCTTGAAATTCAGCTGCGCTGGTCCCTCTGGGAAATGAGGGCATGTATTCCTCAGCTTTCCATCTATTCATTTTCATTCTGATTTCAAGGAAGCTACTCTAGGTGCAAGGAGCTCTGGTAGCATAGTGATTATGAATGGGGCTGCAAACCACAAGGTCAGCAGTTTGAGACTACCAGCTGTTCCGCAGGAGACAGACGAGGCTTTCTGCTCTCGTAAAGATTTACACCCTCGGAAACCCTGTACAGGGTCGCTATGAGTCAGAACTGACTCCACGGCACATAACTACCACCACCATATCCATTTATGCCCATAATTATTACCTTGTGATAATGCTACAAACAAAATTACTGGTTCCAAGGAACAATAAGTTAGTAAGTCATCAAGAAATATTTTCTCATCCATGTAATTAAAAAGACTTGTCCAGGTTTTCTGTGCTCATATTTTAGTCACAGGTCACAATATTAATTCCTCCTCCACATTGTGCTTGCTGATCCTTATGGAAAGTGCAAAAGAACTTCTCCCACAAAATAAGCCTTTTATCTAGAAACAGCCATCATCGATTTTGCTGATAGTTGTTTCTAGATTGATGAATGTGGAAGCTGCAGGTCAATTTTGACCTCACAAAACTCCATTCTGTCTTCCAGCTCTGATTTCTCAGTCTCTGCCCTTTTAGAAGAGAAGCAGACAATGACTAAGTCTCAGGTGAGTTGCTGGCTTGTTCTATACTTGCTTTTCAACATAATCAAATACAGAAAGCTAAACATTACGCTTAGGGTAAATATAAAGAGAATAAAGATCAAGACTTGAAAGAGTTGTTGAGTATACGTAATATATAGATTGTTGTTGTTGTTGTTAGGTGCCATCAAGTCGGTACCGACTCATAGTGACCTTATGCACAGCAGAATGAAACACTACCCAATCCTGGGCCAACCTCACTATTGAACCCATTGATGCTGCCACTTGGCCAGTCCATTTTGCTGGGAGTCTTCTTCTTTTTCTCTGACCCTCCACCCTACCAAACATGATATCCTTTTCCAGCAACTGGTGCCTCCTGACAATATGTCCGAAGTATGAGAGACGAAGTTTGGCCATCCTGGCCTCCAAGGAGCACTCTGGCTGCACTTCTTCCAACACAGATCTGTTGGTTCTTTTGGCAGCCCATGGCACTTTTAATATTCTCAAATAATAACTCAAAAGCGTCAATTCTTCTACCGTCTTCCTTATTCACTGTCCAGCTTTCACATGCATATGAGGTTATTGAAAATACCATGGCTTGGGTCAGGCACACCTTAGTCTTTAAGCTGACATCTATGTTCTTCAACATTTTAAACAGGTCTTGTGCAGCAGACTTGCCTAATGCAATACGTCATTTGATTTCTTGATTGCTGCTTCCATGAATGTTGATAGTTGATCCAAGAAGAATGAAGTCCTGGACAACTTAAATCTTTTTTCCATTGATAAGAATGTTGTTTATTGGTCCAGTGGTGAGGACTTTGTTTTCGTTACATTGAGATGCAATCCATATCAAAGGCTGTGCTCTTTGATCTTCATCAGAAAATATTTTAAGTCTTCTTCACTTTCAGCAAGCAAGGTTGTATCATCTGCAAATCACAGGTTGTTAATGAGTCTTCTTCCAATCCTCATGGCACGTTTTTCTTAATATAACCCAACAGCTTGGATTATTTGCTCAGCATACAGGTTGAATAAGTATGGTGAAAGAATACAACCCTGTCACACACCTTTCTTAATTTTAAACCATTCAGTGTTCCCATGTTCTTTTCGAACAACTGCCTCTTGGTCCAGGTACAGATTCCTCATTAGCACAATTAAGTGTTCCGGAATACTCGTACTTTGCAATGTTGTCCATAGCTTGTCATGATTCACACAATCGAAGGCCTTTGTGTAGTCAGTAAAGCATAGGTAAACATCTTTCTGGTATTCTCTGCTTTCAGCCAAGATCCATCAGACATCAGCAATGATATCTCTCGTTCCACGGCCTCTTCTGAATCCAGCTTGAACCTCTGGAAGTTCTCTGTCAATGTATGATTGTAGCTGTTTCTGTATTACCTTTAGCAAAACTTTACTCGCGAGCTATCAAAGAGATTGTCCGATGATTTCCGCATTCTGTTGGGTCACCTCTCTTTGGAATGGGCACAAATATGGATCTCTTCCAATTAGTTGGCCAGAGAGTTGTCTTACAGATTTCTTGGCAGAGATGAGTGAGTGCCTCCTATGCCGTCTCACTTTCTTGAAAGATTTCAATTTTTATTCCATCAATTCCTGGTGCCTTGTTCTTTGTCAATTCCTTCAATGTACCTTGGACTTCTTCCTTCAGTATTATTGGCTCTTGATCATATGCTACTCTTGAAACAGTTGATCATCAACCATTTCCTTTTGGTACAATGACTCTGTGTATTCCTTCCATCTTCTTTTGATGCTTTCTGTACCATTCAATAATTTGCCCAGAGAATCCATCAATAACAAAAGTTGAGGCTTGAATTTTTTCTTTAGTTCCCCCAGCTTGAGAAATGCTGAGCGTGTTCTTCCTTTTTGGTTTTTTGACTCCAGATCTTTGCACATTTTGTTGTAATATTTGGCTTTATCTTCTTGAGCTGATCTTTGAAATTTTCAAATATAGCTAGTCAGTCCTAAAAACATTCTATAAATAATGTGCAAATATTTCTGATCTTTGTAGCAAATATCATCAGTATATGATTACATTAGCCATAAAGAGACAGTAGATGAATTTCCCATGCCTTGCTTTGTATGTCTAAAATAAACTTTCTTTTTGAGTCTATCTGGAGTCTTGGTATGGCACTGTGAGTTAATGCACTGGACTGCAAAGTCAGTTTGAACAGCAAGGTTGGTGGTTCAAGCTCACCAGCGACTCCTTGGAAACCATATACAGGGTTGCTGTGGGTCAGAATTGACTCTATGGCAGTTAACAACAATAGATGGTATGGATTCCTGATATGGTGCTATGGGTTAATATGGTGCACTGTAAAATCAGTTTGAACCGCAAGATTGACGGTTCATGCTCAACCAGCTGCTCCTCGGAAACCATATACAGGATCACTAAGAATTGGAACTGATGCAATGGCATTTAACAACACCATAGATTATAGAGGAATCCTGGTGTGGTGCTGTTGAGTAACGCACAAGACCGCAAGGTCAGTGGTTCAGACTCACCAGCCACTCCTCAGAAACAGGGTCGCTATGAGTCAGATCCAACTTGATGGCACTTAACAACAACAACATAGATGATAGAGGAGCTCTGGTGACATAGTGGGTTACATGTTGGGCTGCTAATGGCAAAGTTGGTGGTTCAAACCCACCAGCCACTCTGTGGGAGAAGGGTGAAGCAGTCTGCTCCAGTAAAGATTGATAACCTTGGAAGCAGTTCTCCTCTGTCCTACAGGGTGACTGTGAGTCAGAATCGACATGATGGCAATGGGTTTGTTTGTTTTTATAGGTGACAGAGTGCATAGTACTCTCACCAACACTCCTGTGGCAAATGCAGCAGTAGTTTTCTTCTTCTTGTTGTTAAGTGCCATCAAGTCAGTTCCGACTCACAGTGACCCTGTATAGGGTTTCTGAGGAGCAGCTAGTGGATTTGAACTGCTGACCTTGTGGTCTAGTTCATTATCCTGCCAAACTACTTTAGCTATGTCTTAATTTTTTCCTTTTAGAGGGAAATTACCTTAATGTTAGAACCAAACTCCTTGAACATTCTTTTTTGGAGCAGGTATTAGTAAACTATGGTCTGTGGATCAAATCCTTGTCTCTGTTTTTACAAATTTTTATTAGAACATTCGTATGCCATTTGTTTTCATATTTTATGTTTGTGCTATAACAGCTGAGTTAGCTATTTACAGCAGAGTCTGTATGGCTCACAATGCCTCAGATACTTACTGTTTATCCCTTTATAGAAAGACATTGTCAGCTCCTGCTTTAGAGGACCAAACGGATAATAGAGCTTCCTAGAGTCCATCTTTATCTAGGGTTGAAATCTCAATAGCATAGAAGGATGGACAACTGTGAATGGTCTTACAAGAGAAATCATGATCCCAAAAGGCAGTTGTGTTGGGGGTTCCCAAGACCACCCCCAGGTTTGATAGTTTACTAGAAGGACTCACAGGACTCAAAAAAGCTGTTATGTTCATGGTTGTAGTTTATTTTAGTGAAACAAAACAGAGTTTAAAAGGCACATAGGGAGGAGCCTCGGAGAAACCAGATCCCAGCTTCCAGTGCTCTTCTCCCGTTAGAGTTGCATGGATAACATTTAAATCTGTCAGCAACAATGTATGATGAGTCTAAAGAAGCATTTGAGTGTCATTAATTAAACTCAGATTGTTAGAATTATAGTATCTATTGATTTTGCTATAGAATGAATTTCTCTGCATTACACATTTTTACTTTCTATTTTACTGGTCTTCAGATCAAAGAATATAATTGTCTAACACACAAAATGTTTTAACTAAGCATGAATTTTAATTTCTCTTTAATCTTTATTCACTAATTTCCAGCAAACCATTCCTAAGTGTATGTCATATGAGCCAGTTAGCTACTGAATAGCTCAAGATTTAGACATAGTTCTTTCTTGGGAGGTTGCAAAGAAAAAGGTGTAAACAGATGTGAGAACCAGTATAGACACATATAGATGTTGTTATAGACATGGGATAAAGTGCTGCTTAAGCAGAGAGGAAGGAGCAATTGACTTTATAAGGATGTCAGAAATAGGCTTAAAAGACTTCTTTAAAAAAAAGATTGAATCTTGGATCATGAGGGAAGTAGAATGAGTAGGATACAAACAGCATTTGCAAAAATTGAAAGGGAGAATGATTTTAAGACTGATGAGAACCTTAGGAAAACTAAAGTAGCCAGTGCTTTCTGGAATGTTTGACCAAGGATGATACTGAAGAGATAAAATATAAAGGATCTTGTTTAGAATATCAAGGAGGCAGATTGGAGTGCAGTGGTCAAAAACCCAAGCTAAAGTCAGAACACCTATTTTTAAATCTGAGAGTGAATCACATATTTAGTGTATAACTTTTGGGTAATTGAACACTGTCCTTCTCCGTTGTCTCAGATATAAAATGGGAATATTAATTGGGTTGTGTCTTACTTGTCTAGTGTTGCTATAATAGAAATACCACAAATGAATGGCTTTAACGAACAAATTTATTCTCTTGCAGTACAGAAGGCTAGAAGTCCTCATTGAAAGTACTAGCTGTGGAGAAAGTTCTTTGTCTCCCTTTAGCATCTGTAGGCTCAGCATTCTTTAGAGATCTCCATATGTCTTGGCATCAATCTTTCCCTGGATCTAGGAGCTTCACAGTGCAGAGACCACAGCACTCCACTCCTGGGTCTTCTTTCTTGGTGGTCCCTCCAAGCTCAGTTTGCCTGTTTAATCTTTTAAGTTTCAAGTGAGATGAACTAATCCTGTAGATTTCATCTGACCTCATTAACATCACACTAGTGAGGATTTCCAACACATAGGATAATTGCATCAGATTAGGGAGCATTACAGTAAATCATGTCATAGGGGTGATTACATTATGTGGTGAGTCAAAAATTATCTGCAGTCCAGTTATTTTAAAACTTCTGTTGGCTGCATTGTCTTATCAGCTGGAAATTGATGCTTAGTTTTCTAGGATTCTCAAGGGCCAGTATTGGAACACTCTCAGGTAAAAGGTTAAACAATCAACAATGTTCCTTACAGTGAGATATGCTCACTGAATAGCCGAAAATTAAGTCTGTCGTTCAAACTCACCAGCTGTTCCTCAGAAACCCTAAACAGGGTTGCTGTGAGTTGAAGCCGGCTCCATAGCACTTAACAACAAATTTCAAATTAAACCCAGAGGACTGCTATCCAAGGGCTTGTGACCTTACGTGACAATACATTTCTGTACACATCTGCCCATACTGTTGACATGCTACAAAAACTTCATTTTGAGGTCTTAAAGCATCTTGCCTATAGTCCTGATCTTGCTCCATCAGTCTTTCACCTGTTTGGTCCCTGAAAGCAACCCTTGGAAGATGAAGATTCACCACTGAGGATGAAGTGAAGACAGCAGTGCATTGGTGGCTCACAGCTCAGCCTAAAATATTTTTAAAAATAAGGGAGTACAAAAGCTTATTGACAGATAGAAAAACAAGGAGATTACATCAAAAAGTGATCTATTTGTGCTTTCTAAAAGCTGATTAAAATAAATTCTGTAGTCAAGTGCAGACATTTCTTTTTAAAGTTTGTTTTTTTATTTTGTTTTTCATATGCTGGAAGGGAAACAATATATATTTATTTTCTTATTATAGCAAACCATTGGGAATGTTCCTACAAGTAAAAAAAGAGAACATAAAGAAAGAAAAAAAGTAGGAAAAGACAGAAGAAAAGATTTGGGTATGGATAGTGATTTTTAAAAAAAAGGAGGACTGGAAATAAGAAACTCAGGGAGGAAGTGGATAAGTGATGTTCCACTGAGGGGACCTCATGCAGTGAGACGAAACAAAATGTGTGTGAATTGTCAAATGTAAAACTGATGATCTGCTTTGCAAACCTTTCACCAAATTCACAATAAAAAGTTTTAAAAAATAAAGGAAAAATGGAGAGGGGGGAGTATTATTTTATGGGAGAAGATCAGCTTTACATTCATACTATTGTATTTTGTTTCATTGCAATGATTGTAATTCTCTCCATCTAGTGCAGATAATTTTTGACTATCATGTATATGTGTATATATATATATATATATAAAAGCTCTCATCATAGGGGATTACTACTTAACTGCCAATCCACTGAGAATCCAGTTCTAGTCAAGTTGACACAAAGTCTTAACTATTACAGCTTGTTATGAGGATAAGCTAAGTTTTTGGCACCTTGATTTATGTGAATATGAAACTTGATGTTGAATGAGAGAAAGCGTGAAATTGATAGAACTGTGATAAAACTGATTCTAACTGTAAGTGGGAGCACAAGGAAGCTTTTAAACAAGGGAATGTTGATATTTGAAATGATTTAAGATTGTCTGACATTCTATGATTTTCTCAATGCACTTTTTCTCTCTCTTTTATTTATAGGTCACTTGAAAAGGCCTTCTGTACTGTTTAATGGGTTTAGCCCATGTTTTGTTTAGCTATTTTATGGCTCAAATACTATTTTAGAGTTAGATTTTTACTTACCTAGAATTTATTTATTCCAATTTTCAAAGTAAAGGGTTGTTGTCGTTAAGTGTCATCAAGTCAGTTCTGACTCATAACAACCCTGTATGTTGTTGTTGTTAAGTGTCATTGAATTGTTTCCGACCCATAGCGACCTTGTACATGTGTGGCTAGTGGGTTTGAATCACCAACCTTGCCATTCAAACTGACCTGTGATCCAGTGCATTTTCCTGCAGTGCTATAGTAACGGGTACTATTCCAGTATTATTATTCTCCTGTCTATGATTAGTTTCAATACTATTCGTTGAATAATCCATCTTTCTCCCACTTATTTAGATGCTGTCTTTATCATTTATTAAATCCCTATTTGTATTTAGACAGGGCTCTTTGTAGTTTACCACTTCTGTTTTCCTTATTCACATTTCTTCTTGGGAAAGACTGAATTTTCTTATTTTCTCTCAAAAAAACTTTGATGAAAAACTAGGTATTGTTGTGATTGTCATTATGTGCTGTCGAGTCGGTTCCAACTCATAGCGACCCTTTATAGGGTTTCTGAGGAGCAACTGGTGGGTTTGAACTGCAGACCTTGTGGTTCACAGTCCACTGCTGATCCCATAGTGCTATACCAGGAGTCCAAAACCAGGTATAGGAATCTGTATTTGTTTCCTAGGGTTGTTGTGACAAAATACCACAACTAGTGCTGGCTTTAAATAATAGAAACTTATTTTCTCACCGTCCTGGAGGCTAGAAATCCAAATTCATGAAATGTGATGCTCTCTTTGTCTGATTTAGAGGAAAATATTTTTTAGTTTCAGCTCTGATAACCTCAAATGTTTCTTGGCATTAGTTAGCTTTGTAATGCATCTTTACAGGGTTGTCTTCATGCATCTGTTCTCCTCTTTTGTAAAGACAACATTCAAATTAGATTAGGACTCCCCTGCTGCAATATTTTCAACAAAGGTCATGTTGACAGGTACTAGGGGTTAGGAGTTGAACATACCTTTTTTGCGGGAAGCAATGCTATCCATAACAGTACATTTTTTAGGAGGAACCCCAACGAGATGGATTGGCCAAGTGGCAGTATCGATGGACTCAAGCATGGCAACAAGTAGTGAGGTTGGCCCAGTATTGGGCAGTGTTTCGTTCTGCTGTGCATAAGGTCACTATGGGTTAGTACCAACTCTATGGCACCTAGCAACAATGACAGTAAAAATTATGAGAGTGATTGCTTCAGATTGAACAGGAATGTACTGTTACAGGGGTTAGTATCATTCAAGGATGTGGCTGTGGATTTCACCCAGGAGGAATGGCAGCAACTGGCCCCTGCTCAGAGGACCCTGTACAGGGATGTGATGCTGGAGAACTATAGCCACCTGGTCTCAATGGGTAAGGATAGTTTTACTGCATAACTCTATTGTCCAATCAAGTGCCTTTCCTTTATAATACGCTGCCATCAGGTGATTCCATCACTTATGCAGTGACATTTTTTTTTTGCCTTTCCTCCTTTTTACAATGGAGTTCATTACTTTTCTGAGGGCCAACTGGACTGCATCATTGTGGACCTCCTGAAACTGCACTTTCTCTTCTTCTTTGAATGCAGTCAATCCCAATTCCTCTGTGATTTCCATTTAATAGGGTATCCAGTTTCCAAACCAGATGTCATCTCCAAGTTGGAACAAGGAGAAGATCCATGGATCATAAGGAAAGACATATCAAATTGGATTTATCCAGTTGAAAATCAGGCAGATGGGCGACAAGGGAAGTAAAATATCAGTTTGCTTGTTTTGTTTTTAAATTGATTGATGTCTGAGGATTATGTTTCAGCCCATATTGTAAACTCTTATTGCTTGCTCCTATTTAGGAAGAATTTAACAAGTAAAATAGCAAGTCAATGTGAGCCTTTCAGGAGAGAGATATTTTTATTGAACCTCTTAACATTTATATCTTTAATGACTTTTATGAAAATCTTAGAATCTCTTAACTTTTATGAAAATCTTAGAATCTGTTAGCATTTCTATCTTTTATGTCTTGAACACCTTAGAAGGCAAATGCTTTCTTATAACATAGGTTCTACTTCAGAAGTTAAGATACCGAGATTCAATGATGTACAGAATCAAATGTCAAGTATAGTTATTGAATTAAAAGTTCAGAGAAAAATCAAATCTAAAGAGATGTGGCAGATATTTTATAGTCTATACAGCCATAACTCTTCTAAAAGATAATATTAAGTATTCATTAGGCCATAGGAGAAGGTGATAATAAGTTGTGTTTAGGAGATACTATATGAATAGAAACTTGGAGTTAGGAATAAGTATGGGTTTTCTGGGAAACTGTGCTAGCTTTACTTGAGACATACAGGCTACAGTCATGAGGAGTAGTGGGGGGTCAAGCTTGCATTTAAAGTGGGGGTATGGATATTGAGTCTGTTAGCCTTCCTTGGGTTTTTCTGGGGGTTTTTGTTGTTAATTAGGAAGTCAGTCTTTTTGTTTTAAGTGCCATAGAGGACATTAGACTAGGAAGAGATAAAGTGCTTTGAAGATAATACCGACCTTTCTTTGGATAGGATTTCTTTAGGCAGTAGTTAGTCATGTGTAGCAAATGTTTATAAGTTAATTCAAAAAGTAAAAATTTATATTTAGAAAATAGGGAAATGGGGAGATACAGAAGAGAAATCCAAAATTAGAGTGGTAAGGTCTAATTTTTACATAAATATTTATCTTTAATCCCCTTGTCTATCTATTAATCTGATCATCTAAATTCTTCCAAGAAGGCTGTTTCCATTTCTGTTTTCTGAATTTGTTGACTTCTTTAACCATCCATTTGTTCTATTTATGCATCCTGTTAACTATTCTTTATGACTGTTTGATTTTATCTTTCCTTCTTTTAGACAGGAAGAATAGCCTTGACAACCCCCAGCCCTGCGTTTTGAGGACTGTTTCCCTCCACAATAAGATACTAAAAGGAGTCACAAAGGATGGTTCATTGTATTCCATTTTAAAATTCTATCAAGGTGATGGCCAGCTACAGAGATGTCAGGAAAACCAGGACAAACTTTTCAGGCAAGCCAAAGTCATCAAGAAGAAAACAATGACTGGCGAGTCAGACCACAAATCTAAAGCATTTGGAAAATTCTTTCAGGAATGCTTGTACCCAGATACTTCAAGACAAACCCTCCATAAATATGGTATATTTGAAAAACACTTGAAACCTAATATTGACTTACCTTGTAATAAAAGCAATTCAAGAAAAAACCCTGATGAAAGTTTTGGATGCAGAAACATATACAGCCATAATATATCCAATTCTAAACTTGAAAAAATTCACAATGGAGTGACACCCTGTGAAGATAATCAAGAGGGACACATTTTCAGCAGTAAGCAATCTCTTATTCAACATGCAAATGTTGAAACTAAAGAGAAAAACTGTTTCTGTATTACATGTGGAAAAGCCTTTGCTAAGAAGTCACAGCTCATTGTACATCAAAGAATCCACACTGGAAACAAACCTTATGATTGTGGTGCATGTGGAAAGGCCTTCAGTGAGAAGTTTCACCTCATTGTCCATCAGAGAACTCATACTGGGGAGAAACCTTATGAATGTTCTGAATGTGGAAAAGCCTTCTCTCAGAAATCGTCCCTCATTATACATCAGAGAGTCCATACTGGGGAAAAACCATATGAATGTAGTGAATGTGGGAAAGCTTTCTCCCAGAAATCACCCCTCATCATACATCAGAGAATCCACACTGGAGAGAAACCTTATGAATGTAGAGAGTGTGGGAAAGCTTTCTCCCAGAAGTCACAGCTTATTATACATCATAGAGCTCACACTGGAGAGAAGCCGTATGAGTGTACTGAATGTGGGAAAGCCTTCTGTGAGAAGTCCCACCTCATTATACACAAGAGAATTCACACTGGAGAAAAACCCTACAAATGTGCTCAATGCGAGGAAGCCTTTAGCAGGAAGACAGAACTCATTACACATCATTTAATTCATACTGGAGAGAAACCCTATGAATGTACTGAATGTGGTAAGACCTTCTCCCGGAAATCACAGCTCATCATACATCAGAGAACACACACTGGAGAGAAACCCTATAAATGCAGTGAATGTGGAAAAGCTTTCTGTCAGAAGTCACATCTCATTGGACATCAGAGAATTCATACAGGTGAAAAGCCTTATGTGTGTACTCAATGTGGGAAAGCCTTCTCTCAGAAGTCTCACCTTCCAGGACATCAGCGAATTCACACAGGAGAGAAACCTTACATATGTAATGAATGTGGAAAAGCATTTTCCCAGAAATCAGACCTTGTTTTGCATCGTAGAATTCATACTGGGGAGAGACCCTATCAATGCACTGTATGTGGGAAAGCCTTTATCCAGAAGTCACAACTCACTGTACACCAGAGAATTCATACAGCGTGAAAATTGTAAGAATGAATGGAACCCAGAGAAGCCTTCAGTATTAGCTCAAGCCTTAATAAATACTAGAAGACAATTAATTTGATGAGTTTGGGAAAAACATTTCTATAAAAAGTTTTATAACTGAAGTCATATTTCTAGTTTGGTGATACTTAACATTTCCAGCAAAGATGTTGGAAAATGTTTAATTAAATAGATGAAGGATATTTTCACTATGACAGATAAGCCTTTTTAAATTAGGAACTGAGTGATCACAGAACAATGTATGTCTGCAGAGAGTATCGTCAAGTTACATGTTCCTGTTCATAATATATGATAACAATAATATCTGAAATTGGTATTAAACCCACAGCTTTCGAATTGATTTTGACTCATAGCAATCCTCTAGGACAAAGTAAAACTGGCTCTTTAGGATTTCTAAGACAGTGTATCTTTATCGGTGCAAACAACCTCAGCTTTCTTCTAGGGAATGGTTAGTGGGTTTGAACCACCAGGGCTCCTTTTAAAATTGCTGTTAGCTTAGCATAATGGTGACCATACAGTTATCCCCTATAAAGTACATGAAATGATTTTGAATAAAAATAAATTCACAAATAATTGCCATCAGGACTGATTGTGAGGCTAGGAAATATAGATGTAGATTTTTTTTGACAAAAAGAGGGGAGTGATTGATTTTGCAGCCCAGGAGCAGAGGTCCCAGGGACCATCAAGTGAGAAAAACGGAGAGCGGGACCCTACCCAGAGAGGCAGTGATGTCAGGGATGGAGACAGAGATGACGTGGACAGATGGTGGTCTGGGAACACTAAACTCAGGGAGGGAGAAGGGCTGTGTGCTAGCGGCCGGGGGCTGGGGGTGGGCCTGTGTGGTGTACCCTTTGGGGTTATTTGATGATGCATGGAGGGAATTGTGATCATTATAGTGAAACGAGATACGATGCGGTGAGTGTGGAGCTGATGTTCTTCCATGTAAACTTCACAATAAAAACATAATACAATTTTAAAAATAAATAAATTCACAAGTACAAACTGCATTCTAGGAAGGGGACTTAGGCATGATCCCTAAAGGCACATATAAAATTCTTATAAAACCATGGGTTGATCAGATTAAGTGAAAAAAATCCATTGCTGTTGAGTTGATTCTGACTCATAATGACTCTCAAGTGCAGAGTAGAACTGTCCCCTAGGGTTTCCAAGACTGTAAATCTTTACAGAAGCAGACTGCCATGTCTACCATAGAGGTAACTGGTGAGCTTGAGCCACTGACCTTTTGGTTTGCAGCTGAGTGTTTAACCACTACACCAGCAGGGCTCCAGATTCAGTAAAGGTGATCTTGATGTGTTTTCCCAGCTCGGGCATACAAGTTGACCTATATCTCTGGAATGACCCAGCTACCGAAATTGGTACTTCTTTACCATGTTTCCTCCTTTACCGTACCCCACTAGAGTCTGGTGTAGTAGAAAGACTGGTACTGAGGCCAGATTGTCATAGGGTGTAATCTTGGTTCAACCAATCACAGATTGACTTCAAGCAAACCTACTTTACCCATCTAGATATTGCTTTACTTCTAAATAAAAGTACAATGTAGAGCATGCTTTCAATGAATACTTCTTTTTATCTTTCCTCTCTATTCTTCTACAATAGTATACTAAGACTAATGTGTAAAAGCCACATCTGAACTTGCTTTGCATTCAAGATGCTTCAACTTTTGATTGCCATTTGACTGTCTTTGACCCTGATGGTATTATTCCTTCTGTAATGTGGCTTCTGTTACTTTAAATTTTTTAATATACATACATAAATTGTGGTACTTTCACATAAAACCCCTGCCTAATGTCTCATCAGATCTTGATCCCTGTCTTGTGGCCCCAATTGGTTTTCCTGGTAATTGAGGGCGCTTGCAGAGGAAAATTTGGGGGATGCGAAGCTATGCCTGCCCTAGGTTTTAAGACTTGGTATCTCTGAAAGTTCTATTGCTCTTCTAACTGTGGATTCATCTATCCATTCGTGAGCAGCCTCAGATGAGGTCCCCAGCTGGAAGGTGCACTCTAGGAAGACACACTGGTAAGGATGAGGGTCTCTGGGGGTAAACATGGTGTCTGTCCTTAGTTCCTGCTTGATTACTTCACATATCTTGCTCACCTGATACCTTTCCTGCATGGATAAACTGTGTAGTTCTCTGAATCAGAGCTGGGTCTCCTCAGCTTATGCTGAACAGCCTATGAGAACTTATGCCAGTGGAAAGGGCACACCTGATAGCCATTTAGAGATCTGCATGGACAAATCCCTTGCTGTCATTGGGAACTGTATGCTGAGAATGCTGACAAATATCAATTGGACACTTAAACCCAAGGAAGAAGACCTAGAGACACATTTCTGGGTTGAGCAACTATTCTGAAAGTTTCTGACAAAAGCTGATGCAACTGTCCCTTTTGAAGGCATGAGAAGGACAAGAAATCACCACATTGGGAACAGACATTTTGTGAAGTTTTGTCTAGTGATAGCTATTTAAGTTGTCTAAGTGTATAAAGATTTAGAGTTTCCACCTTCTTGCAGGCTGTCCACTATTCCCTTCCATTGTCACCCCACCGCCCCCCAGACAACCTCATTGATCTGATAGTGGGTTTTTATAAACATTCCACTTTAAATCTGTCACTGTTAAACACTTCACTGCTTTTATTCAGCATTATATGAGAGGAGCTAGCTAGTGCTTTGATGCAAGGTAAAAATAGGCATAAGGATTGGAAAGGAAAAAGTAAAGGAATATTATTTTCAGATGAGAGTTGGTTATGAAAATGCAGATTAAGTATTCATTGTAAAGGAGTTTTATTGCTTTATGCAAATAATATTTAAAACATTTTATGTAGCAGTAACAGACTGAAAATTTAAATATGACCTTTATGTGACCATAAAATACTAAATATTTTAAAATAAATCGAATGATAAAGTGCAAGACCTCAACATAGAGAATTATAAAATATTGAGTATTGTTTTGAAAGGATTAAATAAATAGAGGGATGTTGTTGTTGTCATGTGCCATCGAGTCGGAACCGACTCATAGCGACCCCATGCACAGCGGAACAAAACAATGTTCGATCCCGGGCCAACCTCACTACCGCTGCCACACTTGAGTCCATCAATGATGCCACCTGGCTGATCCATCTC